ACATTTCAGTTACAACGGTATGCACATGTAATTAATTATATCTTTTGGATTGCCTTCCTTGTAGAGTTTATTCATTTAGTTTCATCAGAGGCAAATGAAATTTGCAATCGTCAGTTGAAAAAGACTATTCTTCCAGAGCATGTATTCCAAGCCTTACAGGTAAAGGATACAAAATAATTACATACTGTTCTGTTAGTATTTAGTGTGCTCTCTCTTCTACTTGTAAGCTTCTCTCTCACCTCCCATCGCCCCTTCTTGTGAGATCAAAGTTTAGTTAATATAAGCCCCTAATATTTAGCAAGGCAGGAAATAATTGTGGTCTATTAAGTGAAAGACCATCTTGGTAGGTCCACATTGAAGTATTCACATGTAAAAGAGTTAATTTAGCAGAGATTAGGTGGCTATCCTCTCCTATGCACAAATTACATTTTAAGATGTGAAACTTATGTTGTGTGCATGTTCTTACATGTATTTAACCTTGGGAAAGTAGAGGATAATCTAAGGTTATGTGTCTGACCTACATTATGTTTGTCAACAAGGTTGATACTACAGATTGTTCTCGAGTTCTTTCTTAACTTCTGTTATCAGCACTGTTAACATGGTCCAAACCAGGTGAATGCCAGTGAGGGGAAGATTTTGTAGACCGGTGTCAGTATTGAAGCCCCAACTGTTAGTCAATGTATTGTTTCTTTTCCAGGGATTGGGGTTCCATTCTTACATTGAAGAAGTCAGATCAGTTCTCCAGGAATGCAAAACTCAAGCTGCTGTAAGTACTAAGACCAGAACTAGGCTTAGATTAGCATGCAATTGATCAATGAAAAGCCAACAGAATTATCTCAGTTGTGTTGAACAGTATTCATCAAAAGACAGCCCAATCATGGTTGGAAGCAAAGATGGCTGTAATACTGGCATATTTTATTATCTTGTTGAGAATGGCTGAACATTATGTTTTAAGTCCTTTTTCAGCAAACCTATTATGAAATCACTTGAGGTGTCTTCAAAACATTCTTGTAGAATTCAAAACAGTATGCTCACTGGGACCTTTTCAATTTGATAAACCAAAAGAGACTGAAAATACTTTTATGCACCCGTATATAAACCATACAGTATGTAATTCTGTAGCATATGTATCATAGTTTAAAGCAACATTAAATAGAAAACATTAATACTGTCCATGATAACTCTGCAAAATTGTTCTTCTCGGATTTCATTGCAGAACAAAAGAAGGGCAAGCACACGCCTAGAGAACCTGGTATGTTTGTTTAAACTAATCCTGTTACGCTGTTTTAAGTGCTGCGCCCAACTAATTGAACGCCTTGAACCTGGAGACTATTTTTAACAAAAGGAAAGCATTTTACCGATCATCGATAATACAAAAATCTCCGGCATCTGTAATGAATTATATGTATGGGTTATTATTGATCAAGTGTGAGGTCTCGATGGCTGGATGTTGGCCAAGTTCTTTTTTCGCATGTTTACGGACCGAGACGGAGTCGAGGTCCATAATCTCGCAAAAAAAAGAACGAGGCCAATATCCAGCCATCTTGACCGAACAAGCTTGGTCAATAAACAATTTATTATATGCCTTTCGGGGGAAATTTTTCTTGCAGGACACGGCGGGTAGCCCCAAGCCGGCAAGATAGCTCCATCTTGCCTGCTCGGGTAGCCAATCACAGCACAGGATTTGATTCATCTTACCAGCTCACGGAGCTAGCCATAGAATAAACAACAATTATACTTCCGCTTCCTTAGAGAAAGAACTAGGATCAATCTGTCGTCATACAATGCCTTGTCTGTTTGGTTTCGTTCTAAGAGCAATATTAGTATTTTTGTGGAAATGCATAAAAGCGAGAAAAAATACCAAAATAATCCTTACTTTTTTGTTTGTTTGTTGTTGTTTTTTTGTTTTTTTAACTGCAAGAGACGAGGTCAGGAAGGAAGAAAATTTTCACACAGGCAAGACTCAGTGGATATTGAAAAAAAAACCTATGAGAAACGATACGAAAGAAAATTGAGATATCAGTAACTTAAATGAAATTACAGCAAGATTTATCAGCCATTTTTGCTCTTTATATATGACACAGAAAACGTTTCTTTCAATATGTTGGCGTTCAAACTACTCAAATTGGTGAGCAACTCATCTACTTCAATATGTGTACTTTGTTAGCTTTAGAGCTAGTCAGAAGAAAACGTCCATCTGGTGCTGTCGCTATTCCAATAGGACCTGGTAAACGAGTGATAGTTTTCCCTGTGAAGCGAGTCAAGCGACCGTCTAAAGAAAACTGCTGAACTCGGTGATTGTTAATATCACATACAAGAAGATTATTGGAGC